TCCGGCTACGGTGGCCGTGGAGGTGGCTGAGGATTTTCCGTTCAACCTCCCTGATCGTGCCGCCTCTGCTCATTTTATGACAGTGCAGCTTACATTATAATTTTATTATAGTTATTGATGAGTAGCCGAGTGATGAAGCGATCTTTCTGTTTGTGGAAGTAGGCCTGGTTGTTTCTGATTGTGTTGCGATTGTTATTATAGTTATTGGTTTTGTGGTCTTTCGTTTAGATGTCACACTTTGATCTTTATGGAGGTTACTTTTTTTTTTTTAGGGAAAATAAGGGTAAAAAAAAATTGGATTTTTGGATATAGATGTTGATTTCGTAGAGATAGCTCCGCAGAATCTACTGTAGCTCCACGGAATAACAAAATCGTAAATAAAAAAGTGTTTAAAAAAAAAAAACAAACCAAGATCCATTCTGCTGAGCTACCTCCGAGGAATGGATCTCCAGTTTTTTTTTTTTTTTTTTTTTTTTTTTTTTTCCATCAGTTTTTCGGGGTTTATAGTAATTCCCCAACTAATTATTTCAAGAAAAGATTATGTATCATAATCTTTTCTTGAAATAATTAGTTGGGGAATTACTATAAACCCCGAAGAATCAATGTGAAAAAAAAAAAATTGAAGATCCATTCCTCGGAATTACCTCCACGGAATGAGTTCATTCCTCGGAAGTAGCTCCGCGAAATACATGTCTATACCCAAAAATATCCATTTTCATGTCTAAATTTTGAATATAACCCCCATTTTTCGACTATTGCCGGTATTTTCACTACTTTTTATTGTCGCACTATTTCTTTTTGGAATTTCTAAACACAGAATTGGTTAAAAAAAAAAAAAAGTAAATTACACGTGCATATGGTATGGTGATATGGTCCAACAATCATATCTTTTGTTTTTCATTTTTACTGTTCTTAAATATTCAGTTTGTTTCGTATTTGTCATTTTCATTTATGTAAAATGATAAATTTATACTTATTTTTATATGGAGTTTTGACTTAATTGACATCAAAATCTCTGAAGTGTTCCGATTTAGCAACCAAAGTTCTAATCGTGCTAAATAAGCGACTGAAAGGGTTTTATTTTAGCCATTAAGACCTTAGTAGCCTCCCCAACATAGCCACAAGCATGTAATCATCCTTCGGGAATGTACATTACCCGTTTGTGTTCGACCATAAAGATACATGCATGCCCAAAAAGAAGAAATTGAGAAACTTATGAAGGTTGGAAGCACACTGAATACAACCCAATACTAGTCCGTTCTAAGCCCCAACCCAGTATTGTTGGTGAAAAAGAAAAACGGCAGCTGGAGCTTGGATGTTTTGCATCGATTATAAGGCCCTAAATAAGCAAGGATTTGAAAATCGGACCGGAGACCGAACCGGTCGTCTTATTGGTTTGATGGTTCAAGTGGTCCAACCGGTCGGATCGGTCTCAAAAACCGGAAAAACCGGATGATATCATAATTATATTTAAAAATACAAAAATTGAAAAAAATAAATATTCGAGTAAATTACACGTATGGTCCTTATGGTTTGGGGTAATTTGCATAATTGGTCCCTAACTTATTTTTTTAACTCGGAAGGTCCCTATTGTTTGTTTTTGTTACGCGCTTGGTCCCTACTATTTGTTTTTGTTACGTGTTTGGTCCCTATCTTAGCTAAAAATATTATTATTTAAATATGAAAAAATGTTAGGGTAGGTGAGATAATGTGAGGGGGTGGGGTTGGGGGTGTGTTTATTTAAATAAATTTAAAAAATCAAGGGTAAAATAGTCTTTTTAGGTAAGACAGAGACCAAACGCGTAACAACAACAAACAATATGGACCTTTCGAGTTAAAAAAATAAGTTATGGACCAAACGCGCAAATTACCGTAAACCATAAGGACCATTCATGTAATTTACTCTAAATATTTTTTAAAATTTCCGGTTTTGACCGGTTTTACCGGACCGGTTTTTACGGATTTTCACCAGTTCATACGAATACCCGGTTTTTTGGCCTTTAAGAACCGGATCAGGGACCAGTTCCTGGTTGAACCGGTCGAACATGCCGGTTCGTTGCGGTTTTCAAAACATGGTAAATAAGTCAACTATGTTTGATAAATTACATGTACTCATCATCGACAAACTCGAAGATGAACTACATGCAACAACCATTTTCTCGAAGTTGGATCTCAAAACTGGTTGCCACCAGAATACGAATGAAGCTCGAAGACTTGGAATAAGAACCCTAAATTAAGGGGGGATGTAAAACGGATGATTCTTTGTATGTCTTCACTAGTACAGAAGATGTTTAATAAAGCGGTTTATTTTATTTTATGATGCGGTTATTCAACCGCTTCAAAAAATATAGCATTATAAAATAGTGTTGTTTTTTGAGGCGGTTCTTAAACCGCCTTAGAAAATATCCAAAACTGCCTCATAAAAATAGCTTTATAAATGATACTTATTTTTTTATGCTGTCCAGAACCACCTTATAAATTATACTTATTATTTGATACTGTCCAGAACCGCTTTATAAAATATAGCTTCATAAAATAGAGTTATTGAGTTATTTTTTGATATAAACAGCCTTGGAAACACAATTATTTTTTGATGCTATTATTAAACAGCCTTAGAAAATAGAGTTATTTTTTGATACTGTTATTGAATAGCCTTAGAAAATAAACGGTCTTTTAAAATACAATACGAATTGCAACATAAAATATCATAAACTGCTTGATTTACAATACAGAAACAAAACAACAAAAAATCATAATAAATGTAAAGATACAAACCATACAAGAGATTCAAATTATCTTAAAAACACATTCTTTTCTAACCTTTTCATCCTTGTATTTATTTACAAATTGATATAATAACATCAGGTATGTAAGTTGTTAAGGAAGTTAACTACAGAAGCATATTCAAGTTTTTTTTTTGATATAGACGTGTTCAGTTTCGTTATCACCATATTCATATGGCCCCTCTTCGGTATCTTGCAGACTTTTGGAGATGATGCCCACCTTTGACTCTGTTACCTCACTTGGGTAGGAATTCAGAAGCTAATTAAATTACACAGTAATTTTATCAAAAGGCATACAATCCATTTAATTAAAAGGTAAATTACATAGGTTAGAAATATTATCAATACAAAGGAAAAAACTTGTCTTGATTCAGTTTTTGTAGATAAAAGACATGAGATTATTACTTTTTTTTAGGTTTTTTCTACCTTTATATCTTCCCCTGCATAGATATGTGCTCTCCTTTGAACGACACAAGCTTCTTTGCCCAACTCCTTCTTTCTTCCACAACCTAACTTAAGAAATCAGAGTATCAGACATATAGATTAAGTAATTTTATGAATCAAAATTATAAATCAGAAACATACATGTTAGTCTTGACGCTAGGTTGATCGTGATGGACAAAGATGATTATAGTGGAGGTCGACTCCTCAAAGATTATTCAGATTCATCATGGGTGAGAGGACCCAAGGATGTTGGTGAGGGTGGTAGTAGTCGATGATATTAGGGTTTGTGTGGCCAAATAAAATTAGATTAAGGAAATATAAAGGGGAAGAGACAGGCATCGCGCGGGGAATGAAATTTTGGAATGAGCTTTAGCCCGGGAACAAAGATAAAGAGGGAACTCAATCCAAAACCGCATCAAAAAATGCATTTGCTATTAATGTAGTTTTGGAAAACAGCATCAAAAAATACATTTATTAGTGCGATTTTTAAAAGTAGCATCAAAAAATGCATTTATTAGTGTTTTTTAATAAAACAACATCAAAAAATACATTTATTATTAGTGTGGTTTTAGAAAACAGCATCAAAAAATATATTTATTAGTGCGATTTTGAATAACAGCATCAAAAAATGTATTTATTAGTGCTTTTAAAGAAAATAGCATCAAAAAATGCATTTGTTAGTGCGGTTCCTTGATTTATTAATGCTAAAGTGTTTTAATGGTGCGATCGTAAGGTAAAACCGCACCAAAAAAAAAAACCTTATCGCACTAAAAAAATACGTTTTGTACTAGTGCTTCTGGGCTTATTTATGTATACGAGCTTAGAGTGCCCAATTAGGCTACCAATATGTAAACTTTCTGTTGAATTTCTATAGAAAAAGATTGTTAATTTTTTTAATACTACTCAGTGGTGTCAATTATCTCGACAATATAACATTGAATACAATACAAATTAGGTCATTTTTAATCTAGGAGGGGCAGATCAACTGGATCACCATAACAATAAACAAGATTTTGACTTATGTTTGGCATTTGATCATTAATAGTTCTCTTTTTTTGCTAAAGATGTATCTTGAACTATAATGAAAGCAGCACATATTTCCTCGTAGAGTCTATGCAGAAAGCTTGATAAAAATAACATTTCTTGTAGTTACAATATGATCCATGAGAAGATTTGACCATAATCTATTGTAATTCATATATAAATAAGGGGAATCTACAAGAGTTAGGTAATTTTATATTTGTTCCAAACTCCCAATAATTAGTTTCTTATGATAACTCCTTACCTACTGGCTGGCTGCTTTTTCATATTGAATTAGTTTTTACAATAAAGAATCAAAAAGTCATAATCATAATCACTTTCTTACAAGCATTTAAAACAAATAAATTACACCGGATGGGGTGATTTTTTCATAGAAACTTGCATTCACTAACTAATAAATAATTAATGTAATGACAATTATGCCCCTCTTTTTAATTTAGGGATATTTAAGAAAGTAAAAAAACACAAGAAAGTCAAGAACTAATGTATTGACGATTATCCATCAGGTGCGTCGTCAAACTAAGGCAAATTCGAACCAGTTTAAACATCTCCCCTATTATATATATTTAGTAGGTATGGAAAACATTTTATACTATTAGAGTATCATTTTAAGGATACCAAAACGAGTTGACCGAGTGGTTATGGTATATATTTTAAATATACTCGTAAGTTATCCAATTTGTAATTGCTCAGTTGCATTTTTATTTGGTGTTTCTTTCGATCATCAAAAGGATGTCATCCATAAAAGAGTTTGATCATCTCAAAATTGGGCTCAAAGAAATTGAATCTGCAACCAACAATTTCGGGATCAGCAACTATATTGGTATAGGAGGATTCGGGAAAGTTTACAGAGGAGAACTTGTCTTATCAGATAAGCCGACCATGGTTGCTGTAAAACGCTTAGATACTGCTTTTGGGCAAGGACCTCCTGAGTTTTGGAAAGAGATCATGATGCTTTCTCAATACAAACATGAAAATCTTGTTTCTCTATTAGGATTTTGTGATGAGAAGGGTGAGAATATCCTTGTGTATGAGTATCTATCCAACAAAAGTCTCGACTTGTATTTAAAAAGCAACGATCTTTCATGGATTCAACGCCTTGATATATGCATAGGGGCAGCTCGTGGACTACAATACCTTCATGATCCTGTAGACACCCAACAAAGAGTCTTACACCGTGATATCAAGAGCTCCAACATCCTACTTGATGAAAACTGGAAAGCCAAGGTTTCCGATTTTGGTCTTTCCAAATTCGGTCCTGCTAACCAACAATTTACATTTTTGGTCTCTAATACAGTTGGGACGTTTGGGTATTGTGATCCACTTTACATGGAGACAGGGTACTTGACGAAAGAATCCGATGTTTACTCCTTCGGTGTGGTTTTATTTGAAGTTTTATGTGGAAGGTTTTGTGTGGAAAATTACGAGGATTTTCGTCGCTTTTTGCCAACATTTGCACAAAAGTGCTACAAAGAAATGAAATTGGATACAATTATATTTCATAGGGGACAAATTTCACCAAATTGTTTGTACACGTTTTCTACGGTTGCATATAGATGTTTGCAAAGGGACACGAAAGAACGACCATTGATGGATGATATAGTAAAAGAACTCGAAGCTGCACTTGAATATCAAGTAAGTTTGATTCAATTTTCCACCTTATTTCCAACTACTTGAAAACATCTATTAACATCCGTCTAATTTTGATAGGTGGAATATGAATTTGAGAAGGAAGAGAAGTTGAAAAATGCCATGGCACAAGAATTTGACACTGAGGAATTTTGGAAGATGAAACTACCACAGGATAGTGAAGACATAATAAAGAGATTAAACCCTCTTGCTGTTTATAATACCAAAAAGGAACTATTCTCACTTCTTCACAAGGGAATTCTCTTCGATGATAGTGAACGGGTAACATCTTCTATATATATCCTATAGATTTAATTAATAATGCATATATGATGTATCTGATCAGTTATATTGTCTTCTTGAAATACTATGGGACACGTTTTTAATTACAATCTTTTACATAATGTATAATATAATATCAATCACCCGTAGCTTAAGGATTCTTTATAATTAACAGGTTTTTTCAGTTAACGAAGATGGAATAAAATGTGAACTGATATCAGCAAAAAGATTTTTAAACATGAATAAAAGATCCTATAAATGGCAATCTGGAAGAAAATTCAGGTTAGGTTTTTATCCTTTTGTTCATGGATTGAGTTTCTTAAGTAATTCTTACTCTTGTTTACTATATGTTGAGTAATGTTATAACATGCATAAATTTAATTGGATGTAGATTTTCAAAGGCGGCAATATTTCCTTATAGTGAACAACTTAATATTCGTTGCCGAATAAGTACAAGTATGTTATCACCTGGTGTCATGTATGCAGCTAGCTTAGTTTTTTCTTTTCAAAGAGGGCGTGAAAATGTCTATGGAGAATCATCAAAGTTAGCAAGGATAAACTGGAAATATCAAGAATTGAGTGTATCCTCTACGCATATTGCAGAAAGAGAAAAGGATGGATGGTTGAAGATTCGATTGTGGCATTTTCTCAATGGTGATAAAAATGCTGAATTTTACATTGTGTTAGACAAGATCTCGTATTTCAAAGAAGAGCAAGACATTTCCAACATCTTGATTCATCAAATTGAATTTGAACCCGTACATATGGTAAGCTACTACCCTTTCGATTATAAAATATGTGTTTGTAGCATACATTTTAATTAAGTTATAGATATGGAATAATACCGATTGTCTATTTGTTTGTTATCATCACAATGTATGATTGAATTTAAATCTTATCTTCTTAATTAGATGAAAACACATATCGGGATTCAAGGACTAGAAAATGTATTGATATCAGATGAAGATATAGATTGGGAGAAAAAGGTCCCAAGTGATTACCAAGGTATAATTCAGAGATCAGACATGTATTTGAAGAACAACAACAACAAGGAGCTCTACTTCCTTCTATGTGATGGGATACTTATTGATAATGGTAGAAAGGTACGTAATCCATTTTTATATCTTATGGTAACCACATTTTAAAAATTATTTGATGAACAGTGGTTCTCCCTATGCAAATCTACGGGTGGGAAATGTCATATGTTGCCAGCTATAGAGATTTTACTCTCTGATGATCGTTCGAATAGGTTGTCAGTATCTGATTCCAGGTTTTTGTTTTATCTTTGGATCATATAATTAATCTCTAGCTTAATTTGCTCTAAAAATTCTTAGTAATTTATCTTTATACATCAACAGATTTAAAGAGGCTATACAACTTCAATATGGAACGTATGCATTTGTATGTAAACTTGAGTCAGACATGTTTTCATCTGGAAATTCGTATGCGTGTTATCTTGTCTTCAAATTTGCAGAAACCCACAAGCGGCTTGATGATAAGGGTTTCTTTAGAGTATCTTACAACTTGGATATGGAATCTGGAAGTTACAAAATTGCACATTTGAATCAGCATGAACCTATTAATATACCAGTAATCAAGCCGAAGAACTATGATACATCTCATGATTCATCGTACATATCAAGAACCAAATTTCCTAGAATGCCAAAAAACTGTACGGATGATAGCATGCACCACTGGATGGATCACAGAAATGATGGTTGGATGGAGGTTATATTGTGTAAACCATTACATAAGTTAGAAGATCACAGATTGCTCTATGTGTTCTTGACATCTATGGGAAGTGCTTTAGATGGTGTTATTGTCCAAGGGATTCAGTTTAGGCCAATGCAAAGAGATGTTTAGTATTTGTAAGAGCTACTTCTTGTTTGCACTTTTTGTAGCATAACTTTCCGTTTTCAGTTATTAAATGAATTCCAAGGAATTCAGTTAAAAGGAAAATGTTTTCTTTAATGTACGTGAACACTCTCTTGAAAGTTGTCAAAAAAGTTGTGCTAGAAGCGCTTTTATGAAGATGCCCACTATTTAAGTTGGTTGACGATTAAGCAATGAAAGAAAAGGGGAATAATTGTTTTTGATTATTGGTGTCTAGTAATATTTTTATCAGCTCGTACCTTGATAACTATCTCCAAGATCAAAGGATCCCTACTTATTGAGGTATGGAAATGTAACACCCTATGATTGTGGTTATATGTTGATCATATTATGTTGTATTATTTGGATCCGGCTTTTCGGGAATTTAAAATTTTTATATAGAAAGAGTTTTGTATATATTTTAATTAAACTTCAAAATATGCGTATTTATCCATTTTAAAAACTAAATATCATATTTATTCTTTCTAACTTTCAAAATATCATATTTTTTTTAAAAAAAATTTAACATTTGATAATTACTTTTTATATTTATAATCATTATAATTAAAAAAAATAAATGGATTGACGCTATTGCCCCTAAAAATCAACACCCTTTTACCCTTCTTGCTCCTTAGCCTAACCTTCTTGGATGATTTGGAGATCAACGCTCTTTGTAACCAGAGCATCTTCAGTTTCCATTTTCTTCTACTACCAATCTAGATCAATCATTGTTTTGAAAACCGGACCGAACCGGCCGGTTGAACCGGTTTAATCGAGAACGGTTTAATCGGGAACCGGCTGTTACTCTGTTACACCGGTTTTTTAAGGCCTTAAAACCGCTTGTAAACCAAACTGGAAAAAACCGACGGTTCAACAAAAAACCAGTGAAAACCAGTATGGTCTAACCAAAAAAAAAAACGGCAGTTTTAAAAACATATATATAAAGTTTGTACTAAGCGAAAACCAAGGGGAGGATCCCATTTTTATTAGAGAAGTCCGCTCTTTGTTTTCATGCATTCTTAGTTTTCATGCGTTCTTAGTAACCAGCTCCATTATATAGAACTCTAAAAGCCCCCACTTCAGTTTTTTTGGCGATGTGGGCAAACTAAATAAACATAAAACAATTACAATGGATTCTCTTTCTTTTTTTTTATTTATTTTTCTATTATCTTTATAACAAACATTTAAGAAAGAATCATCTGAATTATATATATATATATATATATATATATATATATATATATATATATATATATATATATATATGATGTCATCCGGTTCATCCGGTTTTTGGGACCGGTTCGACCTGTTGAGCCAATTGAACCATCGACTCGGTGGGACGGCCGGTTCGACGGCCGGTCCGGTTTTCAAAACATTAAGATCAATGACTACGGCTTGCGATGCCGAATTGCTAACCACAATTTAATCTAGTATTGATTGGGAGTAGCAATGGATTTTTGGGGTAAATCAATTTGGATTTTTGGAAGTGTGACTTTTTTTTTGACTCATAGTCACAGTTGATATTGGTTGCAAGTTGTTAGGGCTCACTAAGCGATAATGAATTCAATATAGAAAATCAAGATAAAAAAGGAGCATGTGTTGGATTCCACAAAAGTAATATCCATGCTACATTGGAATACATCATTCTTGAAGTATTTCAAGCGCTGATACACAGGAGACATCACATCACCTTCATATTTCAATACAAGGGAAAATACCGCCAATAGATAAAAAAAAAAGGGGGGGGGGGGGGGGGGGGGGGGGAGGGGAGGGTCAATTTCAAAATTTAGTCTTAAAAAATGACTTTTTCCAGCTATAGACATGCATTCCGCGGAGGGTCCTCCGCAAATCGAAATTTCCTCTGCAGAGAGGGGTATTTTTTTTTTGTCATTTCAACATCTTCTCTTTCACAAAATCGAACCCTCCTCTTTGGTCACCTCACTAGTCCCCCGAATCCTCTTTGACAAGGACAATCCTCCACATCGACTTACCACCGACGATTCCGGTGACACCGACATCAAATTCGGCGACAACGACGTCATTTTCCGGCGACATCGATTACATACGACTTCAATTTCAAACTTAAATTTTGGCAGTTATGGAGAGCAATGTCGCCGATATTTTGGCCAGATTTGGCTATCGGGTATTTCTCGCAATCCTTTCTTTGGATTAATATAGTATATGTAAGAAATTTGTCGAAATCGATTTGATTACATGGAATATATAGGTAAAATAGATAGATTTAGATGAAATCGAGTTTGACTGGTTTCCGATTGGGTATGATCCATTCCGCGAAGGTGTATGTCACTACGCGGAGGTTTACGTTAGTTTGCAGAGGACCCTCCGCGGAGTGATATATTTTCTCCACGGAAATGCTAAAATGGAATAAAATTGGGCCTCCACGGAGGTATTGGTCAATCCGTAGAGGGTTCTCCACAAAATGACATGTAGTCTCCGCGTAAAGACCTGAAACTGATTTTTCTATTTTTTTTGCTGTTATTTTTGCCTTTTTATATGAAATTAAATGTTATGTTTTGCAGCACGAAGATCTCAATCAAAAAGCATATTTAACTTTAAAAGGTGTGGTGGATACTATCATTAAAGACTATTTTCTACGCCTAACACAATCACAACGACAATTATTCGAAGTTTCGTTGTTCGGAGTATTCCTAGTAATGCATATGCCATGGTGATCCATTACTTGTGCATTTGATGATGTTGCACGAAGTAAGGTGTCAACAAGTATTTGAAATGGGGAGATTTCTTTTTGATACACAAGGGACGCATTTGGATTTTGGTGAAGCTGAATATATTCATTTGTGGTTTAAAAGTTGGTCCTTATATGGATTTACTCCACGATGGGAAAAGTCAGCCAGATTCAAATCTTCATGCTTAGTTGTTCCCAAACATTTTAGATGCACGTTTACGGTTGACAGATTTTGAAGACTTCACTATGTCTCCAAATTATTTGGTAGTTCAAGATGAATATGCTGTTATGCTTATCCAACTAGTTTTTATGTTGAAGGAACTCCATGGACGGAACGTTAAAAATTGCATTCCCGCTGCAGTATACAAGATTGCTGATAATAGAGATGATTGGAACAAGTATTACGTTTAAATATTGTTTATAAATACAATAGAATAATAATTATTATAATAAATAAATTGAAAATTGCAGGTTTGCATGGGGTACGCATTTTTGGACCTATACTTCGCGGATGATTCGTTGAATGTTTAAGAAAATAGAAGAATTTAGACTATTGAAGCAGGCTAATCCCGAAACCAAGAAAGTACACAAGTATACCGTTCCCGGTTTTACGCTTCCGTTTAAGGTTAGTTTCTAATACATTTAAATAGTTATAATAGTTTTGTTTTTATATGATAAAAACATTAAACTTTGGTTTGTAGTATAAAATACCGTTGTATTATGATTTTTATACTATAATAGCATGATACTTACATTTTTTTTCCTGTAGATATGGATTTTGGAGACGTTCCCCGATGCAACCAATTTTTATATATGCACGCCGATAGAATTGCCACGAATGAGGTCGTGGAGAAGTAAAACATCGTTATCTTGGGATAACTGTCATCGAATAATCAACGTGTCTGTGGTATGCTTTTTAGATTAAGGATTATTTATATTTACAAACTCCAGTGTATTTTCATTTTAAACTAACAACTTGATTTTAATTTTTGCAGCCTAACAAAGAATCTATTCGAGTCGTGATAGACGCGGCGGAGCTGATGTTGCCGTTTTATGTTCGCTACGTTAATTGGACTCTTAACGATGAAGAGTCTCCACCATGGTAACATAGTACGGTCCGAAATAGTCTACCTGTTGTTGCCTCGCCTCCCCCACGGCAAGATAGTCTGGTCCGAAATAGTACACCTGTTATTGCCTCGCCTCCTCGAAGAAAGATGTACAAGGTGGAAACATCTTCGACTGAATCTGCCACAAATGTTTCTTCCTCGCAGCATCATGAAGTAGAAAGAACTTATACATCAAGCAACACATCAACGAAGGTGGTAAAGAAGAAGAAGACTAGAACAAAGGCATTAGTGAAGCATCTACTAGGTGTTGTGGTTGACTTATCTTTTAAAGTAGATTGTTTATTACAGAAAAAAGATGAGCCAAACACACGTTTTGTAGAGGAGGAGGAGGAGGAGATGATAAATGAAGATGAGGAAGAAGCATATTACCATGGTACACAATTCGAATATAGTGGTTTCGAGGGGGAAGTTGTCACACCCCAAAACCGAGAACGGCGGAAACGTTTTGGGGCGGAGGACGTCATGTACAGTATCACAACAATGAAAAGTAGTAAACAAGCAACAACATCATCCATTGCATTAATAATATAATTATTATACAAGTGTTCTGTCAAATTCTTATAAACACTAAAGCATAAATCAAACTGAAAGATGAGTCTTGAACGAGCTCCATCTTCCTTTCTCCTTGCATTGGTACCTGTCTATAATGACCTGAGGATACAAGTAATTTTGAAAGAGAGTATCAACTTTAAAGCTGGTGAGATCATAAGTATTTAGTGTCTTAATTTGTACGTAAATATTTGTATGTAAGAATTTGTATATGAACTGTAAGTATGAAGAGGTTTGTAAAACAACTGTAAACGTTTGAAAACCCTAGAAATCCGTATGATTCCTATTAGTAACAAAAGGAGTCTTCTACCAAGACTTAACTGTTCTCATGAAGTCTTCTACCAAGACCTAACTGTTCTGAATGTAGTCTTCTACCAAGACCTAACTGTTCTGAATGTAGTCTTCTACCAAGACCTAACTGTAATAGTATCACCCTTTGGTACTAGGGAAAATAACAATGTTAACTGAAGACATCCGTAGATGTACATTTACCTCTGTTGCTAATAGCTGGGTATAGGAATAGTCAGTCCCCAAAAGTATACCTGTAATGGTATCAACTGTTGACATCCGTGGATGTGCTTTTACCTCTGTAGCTAACAGAGATTCTAGGAATGGTCAGTCCCGCAATGTATCCTTGGGTACTAGGATATTAAATCCAATCTATCTCGTCGATTGTGTGATTGAATCACAAGGTAAAGAATAGAATGAGGATTATATAATAGAATCTATACATATAAAATGTACTAGTAATTCATGTAAGTGTACTCATGTACATGTGATCATGTGACCATATCTATGTAATAGTATGGTAAGGTACTGTAATGTTCTAGCTGTAGTGTACGTGCTCTCTATCTAGCAAGTATAGTAATATACTGTAATGTTCTAGCTGTAGTGTACGTGCTCTCTATCTAGTAAGTATAGTAATGTAATGTAATGTTATAGCTGTAGTGTACGTGCTCTCTATCTAGCAAGTATAGTAATGTACTGTAATGTTCTAGAAAGTATGACTCATGAATGAACTGACTCATTGTATAGTATTGCGTTCTAGTAATAGTTCTAGTATCTTCCTAAACTACCCATATGGTAGCTTACTAGTAATATAACTCGTACGTATGAACATGGATGTATACCCTTGCTACCCAAGGGCATTGGATGAGCTGGAAGGGCCTTTATGACTATATATTTACATATGATATATATATAACTAATACTTAAACAACCTTCGGACGGATATCTGATATCCCACCAGACCACATCTCAGGCGCGAAAAGGAAATAGGGTGGATAGCCTTCCTAAGTCTTTTAAACATTTCTTATATAAATACATATATAGGCATGCAATTGATAATATAAATGTATAAAATAAGTTTTGTAAAACCTTTGAACATAATTATTATCTAAGAAAAGATTGACTTGATGTCAATCAATAAAACAGTTTGAAGTAAAAACAGTTTGAAGTAAAACGTTTTGATAACAGCTTGGAGTAAAACATATCGGAGTAAAATGGTTTGAAATAGGACCATACAGTGTGTAATGAACCGTTTAATAAGGATTTTTAAACATATAAAACATTTAAGAAAATCATTTGAGGAACCTGTTTGGTAAGAATGGTTAAAGTGAAGTGAATCATTTGAATGCTGCATATTAATCACATGTGATTGATATAATAAGTAGCATAATTCTACTTATTAATCACATGTGATTGATACAATAATTAGCATGATTATACTTGTATCCCCTCCATAAAACATTTAAAAACATTTAAAACATTAGTTAAGGGGTATGAACTCACCTGTGGTAAGTGGATCAGAAAGAAGTGTCGGATAAGTTCTTGGTGTCAAGTGAAGACTTAGACACGCACAAAGATCCTAATAACATATAAGGATATATGTATATACATAATTATTCTTTAAACAACTAATAAACAAAGTTAAAACACTCTAAGACATGTTAAACACTTTATACAAGTGTTAAAAGTCTCTAGGGTTGCATCTAAGTGTTGTAGGGAAAGGCTAGTGTGTTTGGGGTTCAAGGGTAACTCTTAAAATGAGTTTACTCCCTAAGGATCAACACCCCTTGAGTTTACGGTCGTAAACTCTTGAGTTTACGGACGTAAACTCCAAATCTTTTGACCATTTGGTGATTTGAAGTCTTCTAGGCTATTCCAAGCATTCCTACTTCACGAATTAACCTTAGGAAGTGTTGTGTGGCATCAAAACACTCCTAAATGGAGTTTACGGTCTAAGGACCATTTCTCATGATTTTACTACCTTAAACTCATGAGTTTACTACCTTAAACTCCAAAGTATATGGTATTTGGGGTTTTCAAGTCCTTAGCTCAACCATGGCACTAGTCTAGGTTAGATTTAGCCATAAGAACCAAGTATGGGACTTTAAATGGACATTTACCCACTTTTTGGGGTGTTTACAGTTTTGGAACATCCCTGAACCGCAAACACATAAAATTGGGGGTTTTGGTGCTTTTTCAAGGCTTAAACATATGAAGGAAGGGTTTAAACCTATCAAGGATGTTCTATACATCAACTAGGGCTTAGATTTGGGACTTATGCACACTTTGGTGCATTTTAGGGTGTTTACGGCCCAAGAACTTTCTTGGACCATGAACACTCATATCCTTGTGTTCTTGACATATTTCCTTGGTATAAACATGCATAGCTAGCTTAAAATGACTCTAGGATAGAAGTACTTACATTGGGAAGCTTGAATTGAGCTAAAACGCCAAGAACACTTAGTGTGTGTTCTTGGTGTTTTGGAAAAACTAATCAAAACACATAAATGAATGGATTAAAGGATGTACAATCACTAGATTAAGTGATAGACCAACTTGAAAGGCTAGAAACACTTACTAGATTGAAGATTTGGAATTAAATCTTGGATGATACTTGAGAGAAAACTTAGAGTTTACTCTTTTTCACTTTTAGGGAGTAAACACAAATGAGGAGTAAACTCATGTATAAGCATGAGTTTACGGATTTTTGGATGATTTTTCGACCCAAACATAAAAGTTTGGTCGGGTGTTTCTAATACGCGAAGAGTTTGCGGTTTTCAAAAATCAAAACCCGAGACGACACTTTCTTACACCCGTTCGCTTAAAAATAATATTAAAGTAATCAAAATAATTTTATATTTCTTAAAAATAAGAAATAATTACATTGACTTATTCTACGAAGTGGTTGACTTTTAGGGTTTGACCGAATGGAAATTTCAGGTTGTCACATCATCCCCCTGTTAAGGGAATTTCATCCCGAAATTAGAATTTAGATAAGGAAGTAGGTATGAATGATTGAGTCGAGAGGAGGAAACTTCCAAATCGATTGGTTCTAGCGCACCTAAGTGAAATCGGGTTCTCGGTTGGCATTCTAACGAACCTTCACTAACTGGCGATGGTGTTGCTTCGTCCCCTTGACCTCTCAGTCGAGGGTCACTACGGTTCTAATACGAAGGTGAGGATCTCGACGAGTGGACTTACAAGAGTCCTAACGGAAAGGTATGGTTTCACGATCGAGACGCGAAGAGTAAAATGTATGTTACCGAGTTCGCGGAGTAGGTCTAGTTTGTGCGAGGTATAGGACCGATCTCGGTAAGAATCTCGGAGGTCCTATCTATCTTGGATTTAGCTTTCCACTCTTTACGAAGCGTATTAAGCCGTTCCCAGAGTGAGACTTCCTAAAGAACTTGGTCTCTCACTTGGAATCTCCAAGGTTTCCTTTTCTTGTTTAACTTCCCAGTCAAGGGTCACTCCCTGCTGGGTCAAGGTCGTACGGTTTCCGGTGATTTGCGAGGGGTTCTGGATGAACTATGATAGTAGGTCTGTAAGACCTAGAAATTGGCGAATGTCTTTTAGCGTCTCTAGTGTTGATAACTGCTCATCAGCTTTGACAAATTGAAATAGTACTCAAAATTTCCCACATTACTAACAGTGTGTCATAGAAATTTGACTTTTCAATTTCCAAAACTCGTGCCTAGAGAACTTTGCTAAAAGTTCCTCTGTAGGAAATGTTTCCATGGGTTTTCTTCTTACTACGAGGGTAGATAAGTAAGTCATTACATGGAGAAATGAAGAACTGATCCAAGTAAGAAAGACGTAACCCTATTCATTCAGCTCATGAAAACTATTGGCATATTGGTCCTATCTGAAAGGTATCACTACGGACTCAAAGTGTCCGCATCGAGTTCAGGAGATAGTCTTCCGGACATCTTTCCCTAACACTCGAACTGGTGATATTCGGATCTCAGATCCATTCCTGGAGGTAATTCTTTCCTTGCGTTTGTTCAACCATTTCATCTATGCGAGGCAGAGATAACGATTTCTATGAAAATCTTGACGGAGTCCTCGATATCCGAGGCACATACGATGCAATCTGTCGATATCTGTGAGAATATGACCGGGGTTCTCTAGGATGAGAAACC